AAACCGTTATGAAATTTCTAGTTTTAGATAGAATTCAAGGAAATTCATGAGTTTTAAGTGGGAGTGAGATGGAAATTTCACAACCTGATTGAATTTTTAGTGAAACAAAATGAGATGAATTTTCATGATTTTTCGGAATTTTCATAGAATAATTGAACTGAAAAATCAAGTAATATATTATTGATTTTTAGATCTTTAGATCCCCTGAGATTCAACAGGTTGATCATACAGATTTTTATTCTTGTTTCTTACTTCAACTTTCTTTTCATATCTTTTATAAATCTTATTTTTTTATTCCTTTATTTTCATGATATCCATGTATTCATTTATTCGTGTATTATTTATTAATTTGTTGATTTTTCGCGACAGAGAAATTTTTTCACACAGCAAAGTAAAATTTGCAAAATAGTTCACCATGAATATTTGACTATACCCATTAGACTCCGAGAGATTAAAAAAATGATCTGAAAATTTAATGGATTCGTTCATTTTTACCATTTCATTACTAATTTTGAAACCCCATTATCCCGCTAAGAGTGATTTGCGGAGAAATAGTCGGAACACATTATTTTCGGGAAGTTCTCACCTTCGAAGAAAGTCTCATAAGGTTCAATGATTTTATTTCTGAGACAAATGGCTATTCAACGAAGATGTCACGCTCGACTGCGCCAAGATCAAGTAATTGCAAACATCGTTCAATAATTCATAATTATCTTGACATTTCTGAGGTATTTGTTTTTCAATTGTACAATCGGATGGATTTGATTTATGAATCATTGAAAGCAGCTAGCGTAACAATTTTCATTAGCAACTATGCTCAATTAATTATTCATATACCCGAGGATGTGACATCCTTCATCGATTCCCAGTCATAACAACTGTTCTGAGCGATGAAAAGTGATATTCTAGCAATCAATTCAGTCCGTTTTACCCCTTTATCACTGCTCTGAAATTTTGGTGATTTATAAGGGATTACAATCTATTTAAAGACATATTTTATTCTTACATTACTCATTCTCAAGTGGAATGGATGATAATTACACCTGTCTCGGTTTAAGTTGATGACATTAACTAAAAAATCGTGAACATCATCCAATATCTTGTCATTCCTCGAGTATCTGTCCATCATTTTTAGAACTCGATCAAGTTCATTTATGAATTATTTAAACCACACTGTTAAAAAAATTTGGGAGAATTTCCCGGAAAAAGATCTTAAATTAAAGGGGAAGAGTCAACGGAATTTCAAGTTTCTCTGAAAACTCAATTAAAGTCCCGAATTTTTAGCGGCAGAAAAACGGAAATTCCACAATTCATATGAATTTCCCTGCAGACGTGACATTTCCATCAATTAATCTATTTTAATGACATCCCTACAGATTTCAGAGCGGAAACATCCCGTTAATTACTGATGTAAAAAAAATTGTGAAAATTAGTTGTTCGATGAAAATTTTCTTTTCCAAGTTTTAATTTTCGAGATAAATCGATAATCAAAATGTCTCATTCAACATCTTCAAAAACCTCTAAAAATCGTGAGAACCACGAATAATTTATCATTATCTCGCCATTCTTTGAGTATATCGGTTCATCAGTTGTGAAATTCGATCAAAAGAATTTATGAACCATTAAAACCAGCGAGAGGAAGTTTTTTCATTACTTTTACGATCAATTGATTATTAAATTTGCCCGCAGACGTGACATTTCCGTGAAGTGAATCAATAACGATCAAAGTCTTCTCATTTCCGAGATAAATAAATAATTATTAGACGTGCCATTTCACATCTCCAAAAATCCTTGAAAAATTGTGAACATAATCCGATAATTAATAATTATCTCGACATTCCCAAGTATCTGTTCATGGCTTGTAGAATCCAATCAATATAATTTATGAACCATTAAAACCAGCGAGAGTAACAATTTTTTCATTATTTTTACGATCAATTGAGTATTCGATTTCCCCTCAGACGTGACATTTCCATCAATTAGTCCATTTTTATAACTTTATTACCGATTTTAAAGCGGAAACATGTCGTCAATTAGTGGGCTTATGAGAAATCGTTGAAAGACATTTTCATCGGGAATTTTTCTCCGCTCTAAAAAAGCAACCGGACATTTTTTCCTAGAATCTCGAATTCCCGAGATAAATCAATAATGATCAAACATCATTCAACATTCAACATCACCAGAAACCACTGAATTCATCATTATCTCACCGTTCCTCGAGTATCTGTTCATCACTTGTGGAATCCGATCAAGTTTATTTATGAATCATTAAAACCAGCGAGAGTAACAGTTTTTTCATTATTTTTACGATCCATTGATGATTCAATTTTCTCGCAGACGTGGCATTTCTATGCATTAATCCATTCTCATGACCTCACCACAGATTTCAAAGCGGAAAAATTACGCTAGATGGAGAAAAAAGTTGGAGAACACTTACCAAATAGATCAAGTAATCGTGGAGCACAATTTCTAGGTATTTTTCATCTTATTTCGGGGTAGAAAATGCGAAACGAATAATGCATTTTTTTCCACTTCACTGTTAGAAATGTTTGGAATTTCATGGAAGATATTATAGTTAATGTCATGAGAGTGACATTGGATCGGATTTAGAAAAAAAATTGTTATGAAATTTCAAGTTTTAAGTAGAATTCACGGAAATTCATGAGTTTTTCGTGGGAGTGAGATGGAAATTCTACAATTTGATTGAATCTTCAGTAGAACATAAATATTCATAAACAAAATAACACGAATTTTCAATTTTTCCCTGAATTTTCCTGATTTTTCTGAATTTTCACAGAATAATTGAACTGAAAAATCAAGTATTTTATTGATTTCCAAATCATTTGAACAGAAAATCGATGGAATATTTGCTTTTTCAATGACAAGATTTCCTGAAGTTTCGGTGGAACTTGGGCACGATAAAAATTTCCGGAATTTAGCACGGAAAATTCAGACGAGAATTTTTCCCATCCAAATTTTAGCCAATAGAATTGCACTATTCCACTGTTATTTTATATAGTCAACACGGTATTCAACAGATAATTTTTGATAATTCCACTGACTATTTCCGTCTTCAGAATCTCGACCAATAGAATCGTTGCATTCGGAGGAGTAACATGGTATTATTTCGATAAATTTCGGTTATACCCCGTTACCCATGGCAACTAAGACAATATTCGCAAGCAATTCTTTTGGTCGAAATTTTGAAGAAGGAAATAGTCCGCCGAATACCACTCGAGCTTCAAAATTAATCAGGTATTTCCGTCAAGGTTCCCTGCACACATACGAAGTCACGTTTTTCAGGAAAAATTACTCGTGCTTCGCACTCGTGATTTTTTAGTCTGAAAAACTTGACTCCTTCGTTTGTTTGCAACAAACCTATCGGAAAATACCGGATAATTTCAAGCTCTCGTGGTATTACATACGAAAATTTTCAACAGTGTGGATCTGGAAATCGAGAACTACTTGAATATTCAAGAAATTAACTGATTCGTCAGTGAAGAAATATACAGAAATTTCATGCAGCTTTATCGTTGTTAAAAATTTCAAGCTTTTTCACTTAAAATTTCACGAAGAACTCTCTAACAGTGTAAGTCGGCTCAACTTGTGACGTCATGAGGGATTACAGGGGGCTTGAAAATCTTGAACTTTTGATAATTAATTATTACCGAGCTATACTTCAAAGTGTCGTTCATACGAAATCATTTATTTAGGCCTTCGACTTAAGGTTAAAAAATATTTTTCATCACGCTGTGCGAAAAAGTAACTTTTTAGGCATGCTTCGCGTGTCTAAAACGTCCCTTTTCCGCACATTGTGATGAAAAATATCGTTCGATACTCGTGGGAAAAGTGTTTTTTGGCTCGTGGGAGGTTTATAGCACTCGCCTTCGGCTCCCACGAGCCAAAAAACACTTTTCCGCACTCGTAACGAAATATACTATTAAAAATCATGGACGTTCTCTATTAGTAGCTTCATAACCAATTTTCTCCTAAAATCTGTCGTTCTTGAGATGAAACAATAATGATCAGAGACTTCTCATTCCGAGACAATTGACTGATTATCAAAGACGTCCCATTAAACATTTTCAAAAATCCCTAAAAACCGTGAACAAAAGACAATAATTCATAATTACCTCGACATTCCCGTGTATCTGCTCATGCCTTGCAGAATTCAATCAAGTTAGTTTCCGGACCATTAAATTAATCAATTGTCAAACTATATATCCATCACCCCCCCCCCCAAAAATCATCAGGCAGTTTCTCTTGATTTTTTCGAAATATCAAAGACTTCCCATTCAACATCTTCGAAACCCCCTAATCCACTAATTCCGAATCGTCCCCGCATTCCCCAAGCATTCATTAATTACTTTTAAAATCGAATAAATGTGATTTATGAACCATTAAACCCCCCGTGAGTAATATTTTTATAATTACTTAACCGATCAATTAATTATTGAATTTCCTCGCGAACGTGACATTTCTCATCTATCCCCCCCAGCAGTTGTGACTGTACTCAGTCTCAGTGTCGCGTATAGCGAGGAAAAACCTTAGAGAGAAGGGGGTTAAATGGTTGAGAAGTGAAAAAAGAACGTATTCCAAAGGCGACCGGTGATCAGCTGTGAGCGGCATGGCGCGCGGCGCCGTCGGTTCGCATCGACTGTGACCTGCTGTCAGTTGCCCGAGCCCTGTGCTACGGTTAGGACCGTCACCTATCGTCAACAGCATACCAACGAGGCCAACGACGAGTCAATCAAACGTGAATTAATCAGTGATCGATCAATCAATCAATCAATCAACCGACTGATAATTGAAACTAAAATTATCAAATCGTGCTGTTTAAACGCAATTTGTTTGGATATTCAGTGGTGATAATCAGTGATCGGTAGGGTGGAGGGGGGGCACGAGAGAAAGAATTGAATTGTGAAGCGGTTGCATGATGGCCTCGTGAAGGAAATATTTTTCCACATAACTTGTGAAAATTTTCATCGCGCAAGAGGGAGATGGCGTGGAGATTGTCGTACGAGCGGACTGCAACCAGCACTATACTTGTCCTCCTGGTGAGTTATCCTTTACCTTTAGCCCAGGTTATCGGTTTTCCGTTCACCTCTTGACGGGAGAACGAGACGCCAGAGTGTTGTGTAATTCAACGATGATTTAATCGCAAATTGTATTGGTGAAATTTTTCAATTCAATCGTTCGGCAATTGTTTGGGACACTTTGTTATTATTGGAAGGGTCGAGTAATGACTGGGGTCATAGGAGTGCATGTGATGAATTCTTTAGAACATTATGGTTGGGTTTTGAACCTGAGGAGTTGGGAAAAATTGGCTTGTCAACTTTCATCGCAACAGGAATAGTCAAGGCATTTCGCCATCGCTTCGGTCTTGACGTAAATGTGTATTTCCTATTTGCAACTAGAGATCGGCATAATCATAAATTTTTATTGAAGTTAAATTTTGAAGAAGCCTGTTGATTGTTAATATTGTTCATCATATTTTGAATTATTAAATTAATCATCAATTAAATATTCAAATTCCGAATTATTTTATCAGTCGATAATTGAGTTCGGAAGATTGACGATTATTTGGCTTATGGAAAATAGTTTTATGATATTTAGAAATATTTACTCAATGGTCAATTGACGAGCCCATATTGTCAATTATTTAGGTCCTAGTCAATTGACAATTTAAATTATCAACTATTATATTAGTTTTAAAAATTCAATGAAGATGAGTAAACCTTAATTATTGTAAGGTGCAACTTTAAATAACTTCAAATCACTTTTTCTCATCTTTTATTGCCATCGAGAAGGGCAAATATCCGAGGGGCTACTCACTCCATTATTAGTACACCATGATTTCGAAATGACATCGATTTCGGTTGATGTCAGCGGTGATTTCAGTGATTTCCGATAAAATGATTTCGGTGATTTCGAGCGTCACGGGAGGTGATTCCATGATTTCGAGTGATTTCATTAATATTCGAAATCAGTGAATTCAGAAAAATAAAGTTAATAAATAATAGAGATGGGGCAAAACGGGTTATGTCAAATTGTGAAAAACAAAACTGGCAATAATGACAGGCAAATAATAACGAATTCGTTTGATTCCACTCCGCCAATCTTGAGCTAATGATGATGAAAAGTGGTCCATTTTACCATTTTACACTACTCCACACTACTCCAGAGTACGCCACTGATTTCGGTGATTTCATCGATTTCAGGCGATTTCACGGGATTTCGGAGAGCTGAAATCACTTCATTGCAGTGATTTCGGTGATTTCACTTCATTTCGGAGTAATTTTGGAATGATTGAGCCAGAGTGGCGCCGTGATTTCGGGAGTGAGTAGCCCCTTGCAAATAATGATGAAATTCAAAATGAATTTATGAAAAAAACTATTTGATTTTCGAATTCAATCGCCGTTTGGAGTATTTTGTTATTATTGAGAGGTTGGAATGATAAGGTTCATAGGAATGCATTTGTGATGAGTTATTTACAAAATTATGTGCGGGTTTTGAACCTGAGCAGTTGGGAAAAATTATCTTGTCAACTTTCATCTCGACAGAAATATTCAAAGCATTTCGCCATCGATTCGGTCTCGACGTAAATGTGTATTACCTATTCGCAACTGTTTGCATGTCGTTTTCAGAAGGTTGAGTGAGGATAACATTTGGAGTGACTTTCGTTTGTTGCCAACTCTCATCTCAACGAAAATATTCAAAGTATTCTATGCAATCATTAATGCAGTTTTCAAACTTTTCCTCATTATTTATTGCCATCGTGAAGGATTCTTCCAAGTTCGTGACGAGATGCTCCGATCCAATGTCTTTCGAGATTGCGACGATTCCTAAACTTTGACCGTGATGATCTTTCCAAAATAATTCTCGTCTAGTCTCGACGGCATCACTAGGATTGACTTGAAAAATGATTATTGACTGACGCCTTCCTTAAACTTGATGAGCTAAGGAGGGATTTAGTTTCTTGTCAACTCTCATTTTAACGAAATTATAAACACATTTTACATTGCCATCGTAATCTAATTATCGTTAATGGAGTTTTCAAATAACTTTTTCTTTCTATTTATTGTTATCGAGAAGGTACCGATGGCGGTGGCTGCGAGGTTAGAGTGTGGGATTGGCATGCGGGAGACCCGGGTTCGATTCCCGGCTGGCGGGGGGGGGGGGGGGNTCACGGTTTCATTGTTGAGAGGGAGTCTCGCAAGAGACGACTGTACCTGGGCAGGTTTTTCCCTCAAATGAGGTTTTCCGTCGCCCTTCGGCGAATGCGTTGCAGGGGGTTGGGGGGCGAGAAGGGAACAAATCGTAAAAGCCCGAAAGGATATACGAGAGAAAAAAATTGTTTATCAAGAAGGTCACAAAAAGATGATCTGAATTGACGTAAAGAAATTATTTGATTTCCGACTTTAGAAAAGGAAATTGAGTTTTTTGTCAAGTTCCATCTCAATTAAAATATCCAAAACAAATCGACATTGTTATCATAATCTTGTCATCGCCAATTCATGTTTGAAGATCAAATGAAAATAAAACTGAAGACAGATTTATTCAGAGGATGATTGTATTTTCGGCTTTCATCTGAGTTGAGATTTTAGAAACATTCAATTAGTATCATGAATTATCAAATAAGGTTCATGAGGGTCAAACTTTATGAATTTGAAGAACCCTTATACTCAAGTTCTTCAACAAGACTTTGATTTATGAATATATAGATCAAATAGAAAATTATTTTTTTGACTTCCATCTGAATTAAAATACCGGGAACACTATTCGTATCATAAAGAGTCATAAAGGTCAAACTTGATGAATCGGGAAGGAGTTCATTGCTAGTCAAAACACTCGAACCACAAATCCTCCTAAAAATGATCCACAACTGTGAACATCAGGACTTCCCTCCGTTTCACTAAAAACCCTAGATTGCATTACTCTTTTTCCAACTTTCCACCGTCCCGATTTCCCAATTTCGTTACATATTCCATCCAAACGTAACTCCACATCCCATAAAATTGTCACTAAATCATTGATTATTTACACAGGAATATAATCCCGTGGCATTGTTTTGTAATACCTCAACGTTCTTGTTTCACTGTCTTTTATATCCCCCCCCCCTCCTCCTCCTCCACCTCCTCCTTTTCCATATGTACCCCTCCACCACATCTTTCGTTCCGCGCGCTTTCTCGTAAAATCCACGGCACACGTGTCGGTATCACCCATAGAAATACGTATGTTACCAAGTCTCGCTCCTATCTATTACTGGCTCACTGTGTGGGGGTTTGTATGGTCATTCTTATGGGTCGTAACCAGCTCACTGGAGCCCGAGAGGGCCTATTACCCGTTAAGAACTGCGTGTGTGTCGCAGGAGTCAAGGATATTTCGTGTTATCTCTGGGTGAATTGACTGTAGGCCGAACGATCGAGACTGTTATAGGGTGGGAATTTGAAAATAGACGGCAATTACATTTATTCTCTGTCAAATTAATTGCACAATTTCCTTGCAACGCTACAAGGAAGGCGGGGGGGGAGTGAAATTAATGCAATTGCAGTTGCAATTAAATCCGTTGAGCCCGTGGGAGGAGGGGGGGGAGAGGTGAAGGGATTCGTTTGTTATCATCGAATGAATGTCTGGTCATTAAATTTCAAAATAGACCTACAATTCGACCTTGCGTCTGTGACCTTCAACAACTCAAACATTCAGAGCAGCATGAAAGTGCTCTCGAGAGCTCTCGTGAACGGTAAATCAAAAACTGCAGTCGAGAATTAATTTGAAACAGTTGAAACGAATTTTCCGGTTTAATTCGTTTCGTCCGACAAATATGGAGATTGAGGATTTTTAGTTTGTGAGGAGGGGCTTCCTGGGGAGAGGTAATGGGGAGATGGAGAATTTTACGGAACTGTCACGGAATTCTTCGAGAGCGTTCCGTAATTTTTACCTGAATCTCCTGTGAAAAATTGCGATACCGTCACTCAAACTTTCTGAGTCGATTCCGTAATCGTTGAGCGAATTGTGAGTTCCGTAATTTTTACCTGAATCTCCTGTGAAAAATTGCGATACCGTCACTCAAACTTTCTGAGTCGATTCCGTAATCGTTGAGCGAATTGTGAGTTCCGTAATTTTTACAGAACATTTCTCTCCTTATTCTTTTGGGGAAGGGGGGGGGGAGGTTGACTGGGGGTTCAACTACCTCTTGTGGTAATAGAATCAATGTTATGCTATGATGCTGAATGTTTTTGGACAATTTTGTTATTTCAGGTGGTTTCAAGGTCTAATTCTTTTTGGTGTGTTTGATTCAGTTGCGGTGGAGTAAAATAGCATGAGTGTGGATTAATTTATGATGAATTACTTTTTCATAATTTTTATGACAAATTTAAGCTAGTCAAAAAAATTACGTTATCCCCTGAAATTACTCATTTTAGGGGGATCGTCAAACATGTCATGTCACTAGAATTAATCAAGAAATCGTGAACGTTTGATAATTCCGAATGATCTTGACATTTCTTGAGTGTTTTTTCATCAGTTAAAGAATCGAATAAATTTGATGTATAAATTATTGATGTCAGCGAAAGTAACAATTTTATGATCAATTGATGAAACTCTTCCTTTTAGACGGGTGAAACGAGTCCATAAAAAAGCTGACGCTTTCTCTTTGAAATTTTAATGAAAATTGTTTTTTTTAAGCTTTGCCTCGTGATTTTTGCTCCTGTGCTGCATATAGTACAGTTATTTTTGCAAATAAATTAGTAATTCCGAATGGTTATCTTACCCATCATTTTCTTCCATTATGTATAATTTATTGTTTATTTCGTTTTATTAATTTGAATAAGATTTCTTTCTAACTAATTTTGTCAGATTTTCAACTTGGTTAAATGTTATCATCATCATTATTCTTATTACTCCTCTCTTCTATACAACCGATTGTCTTTTTTACGGCCCTATCTCTCCCCTCAGCCCTTCGATAAAATGGTAATGGAATAGTATATTTCGTCATTAGGCCGAAAAAAACTTTTCTGGCGAATATGAGGTTTGCAGCCCGAGCCGAAGGCGAGGG